AGGAATGTCAAGACTCCCAGAAACACTATCCAGATCAAGCAAAACTATTCTTCTTGATCCTGGTGATCATGGGACGATACATTGGTGTCCATACTCCTGTGCCAGTTACAAGTAAGAATACCATTTCATAATAACTATAAAGAAAGAAGAAAGTTCGTGAATAATAAGCAGAAAATTTCACCTTTCAATCGCAGTCCTTTCTGTAACTTCTTCCTTCGAAGAACAACCTTTGAAGTCTCCGCCGCCAGTCCGTTTAAAGTCTGGCAACGCCGTTGATTAATATGATAAGAAAGACAGTATGATGAGCTGAAGAAGTTCGAGTATATGTTTGATTTCAAGTTTGAAATCGCAAAACCGAGTTTCATCACCCAAATCACTGAGTAACCAAACCACACTTAAGCGCAGCCAAACTCAATTTGCCCTAAAAACCGCCAAGCATTAATCCAGGTCTGAATATTTCTCATCTATCAATATTGTCCATCCTATCTACGAAACAAGATTCCAGAATTTATATTCACGCCGAGAGAGAAGAAGCAACAATTCCTGTTCCAAAAATCATTAATCATCGACGTTCAGAGCTTCACATTAATGACATTCCATCCCTCACGACAACAGAGCCACCGGCCACGAAGTCAACGGAAACGAGTAGAAGTTCAGGTATTCGTGGAGATGGAGGCTGTAATAAAGAATAAGGCCGCAGGCCGACGGAAAGGAAGGATGACTTCGAACTCGTTCAAGTTTGGGCGGGGAAGACTGCCGTGAATAATAATCGCCAGTTCGCCGCCAAAACGTTCCACAGGCCCATATTCTGATTAATCTCAAGAGAAAATTAGTAAAAAATTCTGTTTGAAATTTTAATTGGCAAGGACATAAAATTGTACAAATATAAGTATGATTCATGAGTATAATATGTCATCTGCTATACATATATTTCGGTGTTTTAAGTTAATCTTTTCATACTTTAGTTCAAAAATTAAATAAAACAAATTTTAAAATAATTTAAAATCTAATATTAGAAAATAAAAGACAAAGAAGATTTTCTTTTTGTTACATAAACTGATAAAGTCACGTTGTCATGTTTGGGCCAATCCGATAAGTTGGCCCATATATTATTTGGAAAACTAAGTCCAACAACGCTCTTTGAGCCCAATCACGTCTTCATCACCCGAAGTCCGAGGAATTGTTAGAGATCATCCCCACCTTTCGTAACTTTTTTCTTTTTTTTTTAATGTTCTCCATTTGATGAATATATTCAATTTTATTATAAAAAAAGAATAATTTTTACCCAATTTGTACCCCCTTCCCAAAAGTTACATGCAATGGTAATTGCACATTTCCCACTTATGTTTGTACGTCTTGGGGAATCACGGAATGATTATATCGGCCCAAATATAAGTAGCCCACATATTTAAAATGATCAATGCAATAAATTATATATTCAAATGTAACTTACTCAATTTTAAATTAAGATTCATTTCATAATATAATTTATATCATAAAATAGTTTTTATATTTACTATTAGAGGTAATATTACAGAAGTAACTGAGACTTAAAAAAATCCTTCTAGAATGTGATGAATAATGATAGGAGCCAGCATGTTCATTCAATGACCAACAGCTGGCCTGTGGAAGATAAAGTGACATTTTTTTTGACCGACATTATTATGTTTTGCGATGAGTGTGATAGTAAGCATTCAATGAATATGTAGAAAAATAAAATGTTCGTTGGCAAAAAAGAAAAGACAACTAAAATGTTTGATATGTTCAAAATATATTTAATAGTATATAGACTTTTGCAAAGTCTTCCTCTCCTTTTATGACTGAATGCTTGTCTCTTTATTCAGCTTTGATTATAGCAGAGGAAAAAAGCTGGAACAATGTGGTTTTTGAGATGGATTGTCAGGAGTTATATGGCATTCTAAGGAGGAGGGATTACTGCGGGGGTGAGTGGTGTTGTTCTGATATAGTGCAGAAGTGTTTGGATGTCCTATCATCTAAACAAAGTTGGAATGTGGCTTGGATTAGTAGAGTGGGAAATAAGGCTGCTAACTGTCTTGCAGCTGAGGCATTAAGGGGAATGGTTCCTGAGGGATGGATTTCGATGCCACCATCTCCTTTGGTTGCTGTGTTGATTGCTGATTCGGAAGATTGTTTGGAGGCTTGCAGTGCTAGAACGGGCATTGGTTAATTCTTTTGTTTGCTTTGTCAGTTTTTGTTTCCGTGCTGCGGTTGTTTCTTTTTTCTTTTGGTTAGTTTGTTGTGTTTGGTTGTATGTTAGGACTTTTGAGTGTTTTTTTTTTTTGGCCTTTGGGCTATTAGTGGTTGTACTCTTTTGACTATCAATAATATGGACTTTTTGCTCAAAAAAAAAAAGACTTTTGCAAAGTCAAAGTCGACGGAAGGTTGGTGTTTAGGGGTTCCACTGATAATATGAATGTTTGTCCCCGTCAAATATATACTTTCTCCAATCTTGTTTAGAAGTTATATTTTGTATACATTCTAAGTAAAACTTTCGTAAATTTACATATTAATCCTAATAAAATTTTAATAAACTTTTTGATACACGTACTAACATAATTATGTTTTTTGTATTACTTCCTCCAGTATTCATTAAAAAATAACTAATTTACAGATAACGAATAAGTAATTAAAATTAATTAAAAATAATAAATAGGTTAAAAATATAATTTTGTTTTCAAATGCGCCTTATAATAAATAAAAAAATGATGAAAAAAATGTATTGGGAAATGTGACAAAAGGGTATAGCAAAAGAGAGAAAATAAATAATTAAGGACAAAAATAAAAAAAATACATTAAATTTAAAACTTATAAAATAAACTATATTTATTTTTAAATTTAAAATTTATAAATAAAACGAGAGCAAGTACCAGTATATTGTAATAGGGAGGATGTCACAGCATTGAGACAGACCAGGGGACTGGGAGGAGTGATTCCAGACTTCCAATGCATTGTGGAGTGAAGTTCGTAACGTTGCCCATCCCAACGTAGCCCGCACCACTCACCACAAATTTTCAGGGAAAAAAGAAGATACATTTATTGTATGATATACTACTCCGTTTTTTATTATAAATTTTTTTTAACTAAATTATACAATTTAAAAAAATAGTTAAAATTAGTTAAAAGTAATTAATATGTAGTAAATGTAATTTTTTTTCCAAACATATCTCTATATATAAATGAGTAAATATGAAAGAGAATGTATTAAATGCATTAAATTAAAAATAAAATAGGTAATAATGCATTAAATATTCAGATAAACTTAAAAAAATCTTATAAAAAGAGATAAATCTATTTAAGAAATTGGATATTATAATACGGAACGGAGGGAGTATATCAAGAAAAATAATAGTGCTACGTTCAGTTCTAAATATAACGTTTAATTCGTAATGCCATGGAGTGGAGGTGGTCTCATAAACTAATCAGTATTTATCAACAAAAAAAAAAAAAAACACAATAGGTCCGGTTAAGTCAGTGTATCGGCTGTTGTCTTTGTTGGTCTGGATTTGTGGTTGCGGCTCAATCTAGAATGATTAGGCCATGTGAAGCTGCTTTTACTACTTGAGTTAGATAACAGTAAATTAATTAATGTAGGTTCATGCATTTTGTCTAATTGAAAGTTCAACAACTCCCTGGCGTAGGACGTATATCAAGATTTAAAGAACATTTATAAAAATACTTATGTGTAGATTACTAGCAAAGTCTCATATAGGTAATAAAATTTGAAATCATGATTTTGTGAATTATGAACCAATTTTTTATTAATTGGATTAATCTTAGGATAATTACTTGTGAGGTCCCAAGGAAAAAAAAACATAACTACTAAAAAAACTTCAAAAATAAATGAGGAATTGTCATTTTCTACATTAAAAGTTGTTATTGAAACTTTTTAATAATTATATTTTTTTTGTTGCATCTTATAGCAAATCTCCAATCTACCTTTGTTGGTCAATTTCGACATTTTTTTTATCAAAATTAAAAGGAAAAAATTTACTAATTCTGTCTACATACCAAATAAGTTTTATATTTCATCTATATTAAATACATCCTGGAAAAAGTTTATCATTTTCCCATGTTAACAATTAGTAGGAGTAAAAAAAGTAAAAAAAAGTTATACGAGTAGTACCTTATATTTAATGCCGAAGGTAGTAATGAACAGCCAATATAATGTGTTATAGAAAAAAAACCACAAAGCCTCTCCATCAACAGAACACTTTTTTTTAAAAAAAAGGTGACAAAATACCATTAATATATGATCCATCAATAGAACACAAGGGAGTATCACAACGCAGAAACAAATCCGACAAGAAGACGTGAAGGGAAGGGTATCTTTGGATGCGGTTTTGGAAGCCGTGGACTGTGGTGTGGTATTGTGAATGGGAAACTTAGACCCGGCTCCACTCCCCAAGTCTCATTTTTCAAAAAGTCTATATATAAACCATATATATTTGATATCTGATTGGTAAAATTAACTTTGTTCTGGTAGATACTGGAGCAGTTATTTATTTATTTTTTTGCCAACATATATTGGAGCATTTATATCTGATTAGTAAACAATACGCTAATATATTTAGTCTTTTAGATTAAACAAATAGATAATCATTTCAAACAGATTTTGTTACATACAATGAAAGAACCATGTCCGCATTATCATGATTCACAGTTGAATAAGTTGAAAGCCTGAGGCAGTCGGTAATAGCTTATGAAGGAGCCTGATGAGAGGCATGTCCTGCATATATATACAGTTAAAGTCACTATCTTTGCCTAAATGTTGTGAAAGTCAGAGCCTACGTCAGGAATGACAGACAGTAATGCAATGCAGCTGGAAACGACGCGCTTCAACCCTTGCCTGAGAAAAATAAATGCAGTTAGATGAACCATTCAATGTATGTTCCTGCGGTTTAATGTTCTGAAGCTACTCACATAGAAATCTCTTGCCTGTGAGTTCCCCATATCTCTGACACTACTTGAGGTGGTGGGGTACCGGTATAATGTGGGATATAGGAAAGAGCTGGGTCTTTCTGTCGGATTTGAGAATGTTTGGCGAATCTGCTTGGCACTGTTGATCCGGACGAAGATCGGGGCTGAAGGTTTGCTTTTAGAGTTCCACTGATAGTCTGCAGGCACTAAAAAAGAAAGTCCAAGTTCATTTAAAGCTTTCTAGAGGGATTCTTCTTCTTCTTCTTGTATTGGAAACACCTTTGGGGGACAGTTTATTCCTCCGGGAGATCAATTAATAGTATATTTTCCTGTTAAAGAAGAAACAAGCAGTGGCTCCCTAGACTTAGTGTTGGTCTGTTTCTCGCTCAGCATACTCAAACTTGGGAGACAATCGTACTGCTAATGCATACTTTTTGAAAATGGCGTTAATGAGGTGATTGGGAAGACTAGAAACTTCCTTTTGGTACGTATTCTTCTTTTCTCAGTGTAGCATCATCTCATCAAGCTAGAGTCAGATTATGCATTGTAATATGAGTTATGCTTTTATAATCGTTGAAAGTTGGTCTTCAGTGAGGCCCGTATTTTAGGCCAATTGAAGTTGGCCCGTGCTACTTGAAGTTTGGCGAGTAATCAGGATACTTCATAGCTCAAAATGGCAGAAAATGTAGAAATAAGGTCATTGGCCTTGACTCCAACATGGTCTGTTGCCACTGTGTTAACAATCTTTGTTCTTGTTTCTTTCCTTGTGGAGCGCTCCATTCACCACTTAAGCAAGGTAAGAATTGCTACGTTCATTATTGATCTTTTGATGATTTTAGTCTTAAATCTGTAGGACTGCATAAGATTTCTGGATTTAAATTGCAAATGTGCATATAGTAAACTTCACGTAAAGGGATGTAACTAGACTTTCATCATGAGGTTGATTAGAGGAATGGAAGAAGGAAAAGGGAAGTTTTGACCAACAACTGAGAAAATTGATTCATAGATTTTGTACATTCTGAAGTGAACAATATCGTTAGCAGTTTTCTTTTGAGATGGGTTTTTCCAAGAAGATTCTTTTGCCTAAACTCTTGGTTTAAACTAAATGTAAAAGACGGAGCCAACTTCTACCATAGTTTAGCCAAACAATGCTCCACAAGGACCTGTATTCCCTCGATTTCGACTTGTAAGAGAAATCTGTGGGATGATCTTCAGGCTTGTTTGGTATATCTTCTTTTGCACAGTCATCCCCGGTGAGTTGCATTATTTCAGAATATTAACTGCTCACTGTCAAATGAAATGATTTACATTGAGAAATAAACTGAAAGGTTTGGGATGAATTCAAATGCGGCTGCATTTCTCTGTGGCTGCAGTGGCTACAGAAAACTAATCGAAAACCCTTACTCGCAGCTTTGGAGAAGATGAAAGAAGGTACCGTGCAATAAGTTCTACTCGCAATCTACACTGCCCAAAATTTATGTATTATCTTAATTAATTAACTCTTGTTATTTTGGCACTCTATCTTCAGAGTTGATGCTTCTTGGATTTATATCACTCCTATTAACGGCTACCTCAACAATGATAGCTAATATCTGCATCCCATCAAAGTTCTACAGTAGTACTTTTGCTCCATGCACTAGATCTGAGGTTGATGAAGAAATGGAAAAGAATGAACCAAAAGAACGTATGTTGTTGATGGCTTCTACTTATCCACACCTGGTCAGAAGGATGTTGAATGACATGAATCAAAACTCCTGCAAAGAGGTATATATACCTTGATGTTTAAAATTTTGATTGTTTATTTGCTTTTACTTCTGCAGATTAATGCGGGCCAAATTGGAATTTGTTCTGTCACACAGGGTCATGAACCATTTGTTTCATATGAAGGACTAGAGCAACTGCACCGATTCATTTTTGTGATGGCAGTCACGCATGTATCTTACAGTTGCTTAACAATGTTATTGGCAATTGTGAAGGTGAGATGTTATTTATGATAGGAAAACATGACCTCACTAGCATGTACTGATCATCATTGAAAAAATATGGGCCGAAGATTGATGTTCTATTTCATTTTGATCTATGCCTTGTCATGTTTTTGTCTTTTCCCTCTTATTTTTAATATGAAAATGAGAGTCAAGCTAAATGTAGTAACTGACACTTTTTGTACATTAGTTGTACTATTAGCTGATAATCTACTTGATTCATTTGTCATTTTACATAAAGACCTTAGCAAACTTTCACTAAACTACTTCAGATTAATCAATGATGATATTAGGTTGAAAATAGTGGTATTAACAATTGATATTGGAGTAAAGTTTTTTTTTTCCATAAAAAACTCTTCAAGATGATGGTCTATGCGAGTAAAAGCATATAAGCACTGCTTGATTCGTTTGCATACCACTTTATAAGCGGTGAATTTTCGTGAGAATACATGAGGTTAAGGAAAGAGTGCTCCACTGCTTCTGTTGAACCTCTTGAAGCTCTACACTTCCCCTGGGAAGTGGTTCAACAGTTTAATACTTCTCAATATAATGAGTCAGTCCCCTACCAGGACTTGATTTGAGAATCGAGGAATCAGACATAAACTAACATAGAAAATTAGAGGGGGGAAATGTAATGCTTTTTTTTTGGGGGGGGGGGGGGCGCTTATATATGGATCATGGAATCATACCTGCGATAGTTAATGCATGGCCATAATTCTCATAGAAATAGCAAATGTAGGAAGTTCATTCCCAAATAATGGAAAATGATATTCGGTGTCAATGAGTGTTGAATGTTTTATTCACTGCTTCAAGTTGAATTGAATTTACAGCTGCATTAAGCAGCAATCTTTTTGACCCAAGAAATGATAACAGCACTCCAGGAGTATAATACAAATTCATGTAGAAAATTAGTAGTTCTTTCTTGGGTGATAAAATATCCACTTGGATAATAAATCATCAAGGTGCTAACTACTTGGGTTTTGTTTGATACGGAAACGTGATAATGAATACCAGATTCACAGTTGGAGGACATGGGAGGAGGAGGCTCACATGGAACGCCACGAGTCATTAGCTGGTGAGCTCAACATGGGTTTTTCTGCCTTAGTGACTCTGTGATTTTATATCATTGACAGATTTGGTCTTCATAGTATAGATTTAAGTTAGAGGTCCCAAGTTCAAATATGTGATTTATATCTGTAGTCTAGGGTTCTATTTGATCCTTTGTGCACCAGTTCCAAGTTCTATGATTGACTATGCACTATATAATAATCAGGTTATTTATCATACAAAAGCAATCCACTGCTTTATATGTATTAGTCATAGGCAAGCTAACCAATGTGATTCTAATAAAATCCAAAGCATTGAACTTCACTAAGGCCTATGAAAATACAGTTTGCAAGTCTACAAGTTTAGCCATCCACAAGTGACTAGTTCAGTTTTTATATTGAAACCAATTTCAAGAGTGATTAATCCCTTCTTGTGTTGCTACAGAGATGACAAGAAAGTTGACATTGCGAAGGCAATCAACATTTGTCAAATTTCACACATCAAATCTGTTGGTCAGAAACAGCTGTATGGTCTGGGTGGTAATTACAGAACTTCACCTTTTTTTTCTTGCTTCATTTTCTTGTTGATGCATTTCATTTGTGTTCTTTTCCCCTTTTTATTATTCATATCTTTTGATACTTCATTAGCTACATGGTATGCCTGTCCGTTTTTGAAAATTCTTGTCCCTGTTGGGTGGTTCATAGAAATGATCAGGGAGGTTGCTTGAAACATTGCAAAATGCATTTCTGGATTTTATAACTATGTTGTGTAAAATAAGACAAAAAGGTTTACTGATTTTCTTAATGTGGAGAAAGAGATTAAAATTCACTTCATAGTGTTCTTAATTGTATGAGTCACTTACATCTAACAGTTTCTATGGAGGCCTGATTTTCTTTAGAAGATACTTCTTTGTTACCCTGTATCAAAGAAGGGAAAGATGTACTGAAAAGTATATTTTTAATTCTCATCTGAGTACAGAGAGAGAAATATATAGAGACACTATACTCTTAAACACTGCAGGACAGCTGTAACACTAACAAATTAACTCACTCTTAACACCCTACACTCTCCTTGATTCTATTTACCAACTAGCTCAAATGTCCAGGGTTCTATTTTGTTCTGTTTGTCCTGTATAATCGTAAATCTTTCTTATGTTAAGTTAAATTAAATGACAGACATGTTTTTTCCGACAATTTGGACGTTCTGTGGTTCGAGCTGATTATCTTGCACTCCGCAAAGGCTTCATTGAGGTATGCAGATGCCATAGTCGAAGGTGCCATTGTTACTTGCACTTGTCTTGTCTCCCCTTTATGACCATATGAAGCTACTTTAAGTGCCTTTTGTATCATATCCATCACAATATTTTTAAGTTCCTTGATGATATGTACCACTTTGGAATGTTTACTCAGTTTTCTTTTCCCCATATTCTTGGCAGAATCATAACCTCACTTCAAATTACGATTTCCACAGTTACATGATTCGATCTATGGAAGAGGAATTCCAAAAGATCGTTGGTGTGAGGTTAGTAATTACATTTATAATATGCTTGCAGCATCATGAACAACACTTTAGGCAGTTATTTTCTGACTTTCTGTTTATCAAATATACTTGATCTGTTTTATCCGTCTCTGCATTGTGTATGCTTTTAGTTACTTGTTTACCTGTGATTGGCATGCCTCATACTGTTAAATGAAAATTGTCAATTGTATCTCACCTTCATGACGAAATATCTGTACCATTTTAATTTAAGTCTCACAGCATATGTTTACTTATTCGTTTCTTCCTTCTATTTATCCAAAGTTCATTCTCATGAAGTATTCCATAGCCAAAACATCTGTTCTGTTTGCAAAATCATGCAGTGTTCCACTCTGGGGATTTGTCGTTGCTTTCATGCTTTTTGATGTCAACGGTATGGCTTATCACAACAGATTTCTCCCTCTTTTATGCCTCTTTTCACAAAAGAAGAAATTTCCCGTTAGATTACTTGATTTTGTTCACTCTTCTAACACAGTTCATTTGTTTCCTGATCAATGACAGGATCTAATCTCTATTTCTGGATAGCAATTATTCCTATTTCTGTAAGTTACCCCTTGTCATTTCTTTTGTACTTATCCTTCTTTTAATCCTTTCATTTGTCTTTTCCATGTATATAATATCAACTCCTCATCCTCCTAATTAAACCAATACTAAAATCACACTAAGACATTTACACCCTTTACTTTGGGTGCACGACAAATAACTAGTTTTTAAACCGACCTGACTTTCCAAGTTCATATCATCTCTTGGACAGTTTTCATGTACCACAGAAATGTATATGTTGAGTTTCTTAAAAGGACGTTGTCATAAGCCATCCACATCAGAACTGTTTCTATCTGCATTGCGCAGAAATGCGTTTGTTACTTTATATTTCATCATGTATGTTGATATATTGATGTGTGTTCTCTATGCAGCTTGTGCTGTTGGTGGGAGCAAAGCTGCAGCATGTTATTGCAACCCTGGCATTAGAGAATGAAGGAATAACTGGTTCCTTCTCAGAGGCGAAGTTGAAGCCTCGCGATGAACTTTTCTGGTTCAATAAACCCGAACTATTGTTGTCCTTAATCCATTTCATTCTTTTCCAGGTTTGGGACCTTTGCTTTACATGTGATGGAATGATTTTCAATTAAGATATGTTATTTTCAAACATGCTCTGACGGATGCATCTTGCTGTTCCTCCTTGCAGAACGCATTTGAGCTGGCTTCATTCTTTTGGTTCTGGGTAATTCCTTACCTTGTTAAGATGTTATTTAGATCTTAGAGCGAGAAGAACACTATTTTCAGCTGAAAAAATATATATATTGTTAAAGTAGAGTAAATTTCAAAATTATGTAAAGTTGGCTGAAATTATATAGACTTCCTGTTCTGTTCTTAAAATTAGTAAAAAGAATAATGGTGGCTGCTGCCTTTTGAAAGTTTCCTTAGGATATAACAGAACACTCTCCAAAGAAAAAGAAAACTTACACGTATACTCTCTATCTACTGTATAACTTCTTAAATAAAAAAAGATTAAAATAAGAATCAGATATCTACCTTACGCATATGAGGGGATTCATTTGTGGAAATAATATAGGTAACAGAAATTGACTTGTTTTTCCTGATTTAAATTTCTATGTTCTACTAAAATGTCTGTAATGTTATGATTGCAGTGGCAGTTTGGTTACCGTTCCTGCTTTATTAGGAATCACCTCCTTGTGTATTTAAGGCTAATCTTGGGGTATGTAGAAATTTTGATTTATCATCTCAGGGCCAGTTGTTATAAAAAAAAGTGATTTGGGTTAACTTAAACATGAGAAACTTGTTGGGAGCGTGGGGAATTGTTGAAAGAACCTTAAGCTAATCATAAAAATTTTGTTGGAAAATTTTTTTTCAACTCATTTTGATAATCCATTCCAAATACATAATTAAAATCTGTTCCAAACATATTATCAAAATAAGCTAAAAACAGATTTTTTATTTTCCATCACATCCCTCACGTTTAGCTTAAGGCTTCCCCATGCTCCCAACAACTTTCTGATGTTTTAACTTAAATCATTTAAAAAAAAAAATTTCTTGAACAAGGTAGCCCTCAATCTTGTCAAATGAAGATCCTGAAAATAAGTTGTTCTAAATTCCCAGGTTTGCTGGGCAGTTTCTCTGTAGCTACAGCACCTTGCCACTCTATGCACTTGCCACACAGGTAACTTCATATACAGATGATTGAGATTTGTGCCCTCCTACGTATTATCAAATTACCCTTGTATTTCAATTTTTGCATTAAATGGACCCTAAGTACAATAGTAGAGTTAACTGAATATAAGGCATTTTTAAGAAGTCGTATGTTTCAATATGCAAGGCACTTCATAGAATTCTAAGGGCAATTAATATGTAGGAGCATATCAAATTACTTGCCTCCCACTAAAATCAAATGAGTCATATTGGTATTCTGTAAAATGCTACATGCTGAAACATGGGATTTTTCAAAAAAAGTCCTGTATTTGAGATTAAGGTAATATTAAACGTCAGATCATTCAGTTGTTTTTACATTTTCATGTCTCATATGGTAACAGCTTTGCTGTGTTTGATTCAGATGGGAACAAACTATAAGGCTGCATTAATTCCACAGAAAATAAGGGAGACAATTCATGGATGGGGGAAACAAGCCAGGAGAAAGAGAAAACATGGTTTCTTCCCTGATGATTCCGCCGCGCATACAGACACAAGCACTGTGTTGTCTATCGAAGAAGACGACGACAACCGATCGGTTGAAGCACTCCCGGCTGCCATGGAATTACAACCAGTAACTGCTGCTGCATCTCCTCCATCAGCTGTTGCAAATGAAACTTCAAGCAGGGCAGCCACGCCCCTCCTACGCCCCTCTGCTTCAGTTTCTACATCAGCTTCATGCTTTAGTTTTAGAATAGGATCAATTTCAAGATCCTCTTCTTTGCCCTCTGGAAGAAATAGAAAATTAAGGCCTGCTTTGCCTAGGTAAGATAGAAATTGGACGTAGCAATGATGAAGTTGGATTTTGTATGATTAGATGTTACAGTTGACTACTCTTGATAAATAAATATATATTCTAGTCATAGGAAACTGCATTACTCATTTCACTACACTATCCATTATCTATTGTAAATGAGGCTTCCAATGATAGGGCTGCCATGCCACTCCTTTGCCCTGTATTATTGTGCATGTTTGGCATAACGTTGGAAAACCTCACAAGTCAGTTGACATAAAAGACAAAAACTGACGTTTGACACAGTTTTAGGACAATTGATTTTTTGCTTAAAAACTACTTTAAAGTTAAAACAACTTTTTCTCACTTTTAACTTTTGACTTTTCTTCATATTTGAACTTTCTAAAACCGCGTTTTAAATATATCATCCAAACAAGTTTATGTTAAGCTAATTTTTTTAGAAAAATCTATTTAAATACAAATCACATTATACTAATTAATTTTTATTCTAATTTCAGTTTTTCGGTCGAAATAAGTTATTTTTGTCAGCCTTAATCTGAAGAATTTTTTTTTTCTTATAATGGTAGTTAGGAAATTAGTAGTTCCCATTTATAATGCTATCATATGCATGCAACCGTGTAAAATAAAATTACGTTGTTTTGTCACCGCATGCATCCAACCATGTAAATACGTGGTCCTGGTGTTCATCTTACAATTAAAAGAATGGTTATACTGCAACTGGTGAAAACCATTTCATCAAAGTAGTGAAATTTATAAGCTGCATACTTGAAATTGAACTTGCAACCTCCCACTTACAGAGATCTTTAATCGTATTGGGTTATCAGGCTATTTTGGCTGATGCGCCTTCCGTCTAGCACTGTTGATATTGTGCGCATCAAGTTTTATTAAATACAACTGTTACTGTCAACCTCATTGTAGAAAACTGAGTAGGAAGCATACTGTTGTGCACATATCTTTCTCTGCAAGACTATATATATCTTTAGTTTTTCTTAATCTTGAATAAACAAACATACACACCCAAAATATTTATTGATAAATATGCCAAAATATTTGCGGGGCCATTGAAATCATGAGTGAAGGTGGAGGACTACCTACAGATCCCATAGTTAAAGAAAGACGCTTCAATGAGCGTATTTATATTTTTCAGGTTTATTTTCTTGTAAAGATTTAATAAGAAGATTCATACTGTTGCTAAATATATTTTCTTGCATTTGTATTCCGCGAATGAAGAAGCGCCAAGTCAAACAAAAAGAAAGGCAAGCGTACAGGTTGAATTTGTTATTATAGATTATGGTCTGGTGAAAGTGAAACTTCGACTAAATTTATCATGCCAAAGGGATCTAAACAAAAATTTAGTTAATCAAAAAATCAATTTGACATCTTTTATTTAAAAACACATATTCCTGTTTCTTTTCTTCAATATAATTGAAAGCAATGATTATTACAGTAATCAACTGCAGGAAACATTAGCAACTAAGCTTTGTCTACTTAGTATATAAGTATAGCATTGATTCTACAGAAAATGGAGGAACCTTCTCCAGTTAAGCGTCTTTGCCATTTGTTCCACCTGATTCCATAGCCTTCAAGCCTTCTGCCAGCATCCTCTCCCTATTTTGTAATTTTCTTTCGGCCGCAACCACATATAAGCCTGGATAAGTATAAAAATTGTTGTTAGAATATACAATTTTATTTATGAGTGTTCACCTAAAAGCTGAAGTTTCTAAATTAATTTTTGACCAGGCACGAAAGCTTCTATGTGAACAATAGTCCGATCTTAGCCCCATTCATTCATCATAATCTATCAACACTCCTTATAGAACTTCCAGAGGTCCGACTGAATGTCTGGCTATATTATTGGAGGACAGACAGGCCACAACTACTGGAAGATCTAATGCAGCAACTGCATGAGCTTTTTAGGATTTTATTTTTTCTCCTTCAAGCCTAGCTTGTCCTTCTTCCCCAAAAAAAAAAAAAAACTCCTTATAGAACATATTGAAAGAAGGTGAAGAAGCTTACTGATAGCACTTCCAATGGCACAAGCCCAGAGAACTCTCATCGACCATTTATCACTGATTACTCCTCTGGTTCCCATGGCTTGCTGAAGCGAAGAACTAAAACTCTATAAGACAGCTCTAGGCAATCATGTTTCCTAAACACTTCAGATTGTAAGGGTTAGAAATTTAGTTACTGCCTGAGCTTTTACCAGTAAAATGTAAAATACAGTTCATATGCAACAGCCAAGCTCATATAAGAAAGCTCGAATTTGTTGAACTCTCAATAGGACACTTGACTTACTCAACAAAAAAAAGGGGATACCACAATATTTTCATGCTTTGAAAAATGCCTAGTAACATGATTTATAAACAATATAGTTACAGCTGAGAAAACATTTCAGACTTATTCAAGTATCACAGGCTTCGGGCCCTGGAATAATTTGTGAAACTTTATCTGCGCACATTTGAAGCAAAATAGAAACTACAATAGTTCTCCAAGGAGAAGAAAATGATAACTTTTTCATGCATGTTTTCAAACACTAATCAAATAAATGAGGTTCGCCTTTATTAGTTTTCCAAAGATGTAACAAAATGAAATTTAGGGATATTCTGGAGTTCTTTCAAAATGGTTTCATCAATTTGATGCGATACAACAGGACTGACAGACTTGGAAATCTGAATAATCTTTCTGTGTGTACCTTCAATTCTTTGAGAAACCAAGCAGATACAATCGATGAAGAGCAACGCCGACGATGAACTGAGCGAGATGATAGAATGCCACGAGGTTAAGAACCGAAGACAAAGAACGAGAAATCGAAGAGGATCGAGACGTGGGAGCAACGGTGAATGGACGGAGGAGAGAAGAAACGGCCGCAGGGAAAATAGGAAAATGACGGAGCATAAAGAGGAGGCCGAAAAGGCAACGGGAAAATAAGGAAGAAGGGTTTGTCGTTTGAGGGATCGAACGACATCGTGGGGTGTAAACCCCCCCCCCCCCCAAAAAAAAACAAAACATGTGGAGACCGGACCAGACCAGGCCATTTAACAAAGGTTTGTCGTTTTTCGTTAAATGTTGTCATTTCATTTAACAAGTTATTTGTGTGGAAAAACAATAGGCTTTGGATCTAGTCGAAACAACTAACTTCTCAACTTCTCACAATGTTACGAATAAAAATTTAAATCCCAACTTAACCCATCCCTACCGAAAAAATCTGCGGCAACTGAAGTTGTAGATGTCAACATTGGAGGGAGCTTCTTAAATTAAATTGTTTAAAAAAACTAAATATCAAAATAGTCTTTAAAATTTGGCCAAAAAAATTGTCTTTTAAAAACATCATGAAAATTAAATAATTTTAAAATATCATTCTGAAATTATCATATTTTAGTAGTTCTTAGATGTCCTTCTTCCTCTTCTATTTGGAGAGCTCAAATCATAATTTTTACATGTCTCGATATTAGCATTTAAATCTGAACTAAAAAAATCAAGATTCGAAAAACCGGACTAGTCATTAAACAGGTTAAGCTAATGAGTTAAGAGTTAGTGAGTTATATCAGATCAAATCGGAATCAGACCGGTAATTATTAAAATAATTTTTTTACCAGAAAAATTGATATGTTTTAAATAAATTAATTATTTTACAACAAAAATTAAAATTAAAATAATACTCAATTATGTGCATAAATAAAAATGTAGAGTTCCAAGAGCACGTGCAGTTGTTTGTTCCTCTTTTTTTTCACCTCCAGCTTTCTCTCCAACTTGGGAAAAGCCTCCCATCTTCTATCTCTCCTTTCATTTATTCCCATCTTTCTTCTTCGTATAGTATTTTTCTTCTACTTCACTTTCACTTGTTATTAGTCATACCAAGAACTGAGCTCGCACTCTCATCTTGCCTTTAACTTAGAAAAGGGTTTTATTTTCAGTTCCTTGCTTTGCTTGTTTTGGAGTCTCAGATTTCAAATTTCAATCGCATTTCCAGTTTTTCACCACTGTTTTTCTCCAAACAAGAAGCTCTGGCTAGCTGTTCAATATGGTCTCCTTTTTTGTTGCGTTGATCCAGCGTTGGAGCAACTAGTTCAATGTCTTCAGCAACATCATTTTCTTCTTCTCCTTCTAATTAAAATGACCCGGTCAACTTGTTCAAACCAGCAGGTTGTCTGCTTTACACCCGGGTCACAATGATTCTCTTATTCCCCAGGTTAGTGGTGAATCGGACCGAGAAACTGGCCGGAGGTCCGGCCTGATTTTTCAAACCATGCAAAAAATGCTTATGGAGTTTGTGGGGAAACACATTCAGTTCTATTATATTGACAAGTGACTTTTCAAACAACTCTACGACTACACACATACGCTAGGATGTCAGGACAGGAAGGAAAAGATCCATTCTCTTGACCAAAAAATTCGGAGTTACAGATAAGGGTAATGACTAATGGATAGGTTTTACTTGTGCACCAAGTAAAATAAATAGAATATATCCTACATAACCCATGTGTTAAATAAGATAAAGACTACTTCCAGGGCATGCCAATTCTCCAACATTGTAGAAATAAATATATATATATACAAGGGAGGAACATAAACTCAGGCAGAAAAAATAGGCCATTTATAAACATCTAAATATTGAAAATCTGTTGAAAGCTACAGAAGGGTCTATCTTATTAGGGTCCTTGTGTAAGCCTCTGCATCTCATTTTGGTCGTTGAGAGTTTCAATGAGAAGAGGAGGAGCATATTGGGCTGTCCCTTGATGTTCTTCAGAATCTTGGCAGAATGACAGAATGATGGTGTCGATCGACATCTCCACCACAGCAAAGAAAAGAGTCGCAACAATATATCCAAGGGCCCAGCAGACCTACATTACAGAATATTGAAAATGAGATAGTGATTATCATTCACACTTTGTACTATAAATGGCACTTTGTTGGACTGTTTTCCCATAATTGTAGTATCTTTCCATTTTATAGCCTGTTTTGGTTATGCTTTTCAGCAAGTGATTATTGTAAAAGTTTTTCCTCTGGATCTGGTTACGCTTAATGCCTGAGGTTTAATCCAGAAAAGGTTTGAGATCAACATCAGCAAGAAGTTCTGAGACACTAATGAACCATTCTTTGGAACTGCAATCTGACTAGAAGGGTTTCATCAATTTAAAGATGAATCACCATCATTCTTTTTGGCCTGATTCATCATTTATGCTTTTGATCAATGGTAAGTGATCCTCATTCCTCACTCTTCTAAGTAGATAATAGAAAACATACCACGACAGGCAAGAGGGGAGATGAGATCTTGTTATGAGCAGATCTATATTTGTGTGTGTCCAGCATAAGGAAGGCAAACACGGCGCTAGCTAGGCTAACACATAGCTTTCCAAGGAACAAAATGACGTCTCCAATCACATTGAGACGCCCAATTCGAAGGATGTTATTCATGATCAATTCTGTGGCAATTGCTGAAGCTCGAAAGAAACTTTTACCAGTTATAGCAATCTGAAGATGCAAGCAGATATTCAAAGAGAAGTTAAATGCAGAAATAGGTGAAGATCATATATGCATGCTTCATCTGGTAAAGAAGATTTAATCAGAAACGACTAATTAACAAAGGAAGGAGGCACATGAGAAAGCCAACCAAATATTAGCAAATTTTTTTCTGGACTTAATCGTTACTCTACTATTATTGGCTCAGAATGACACCAACATTTGCTCAGTGCAACTAATCATGTCTGGGAACGGGACGTCAATTGGCTAGGACCTCCTCTGATGTTCAAGAGCCCAAAAGGACATAACTGACTTTTTTTCAAAAAAGAAAATCAAAAGGAGACAAAATGTTTTACCCTCTATTATCTGCAGAAATTCATTTATTCAAATAGTAGGTATGACAATTGGGTTTAAGCAAGCGTTTAGGATTAGCGGCCTAGGGCTTCCAATAGATGTACTATCTTCGTACAACCTGATTAACATTTATAAATAGACACATGCAGAGTGCCAGACTAACAAATCAGCAAACCCACTAAGTATTATTCCTCTCTTTCTTAATATGGCATCAAAGTCTCAAATGCCTTCTCCGTCTCTCTCAAAGCATGCTAATTACAAGGCAAAAAAATACAAGAGGACGAAATTCTATTCTCTTTCCCCGTTAATATGTTACTATCTGTTACATATTTATCGCACAAAAATGATCAACATGTCTATCAAATGCAGCATGCATACAAGTCTAGTTTATTGTATACTAAATATTTTACCATGATATAAGCATTCCGGTTCACTGATTTTATGATCCACTCGATACCCCTGAGGAAAATTTGAGAAGTTCGGGATGCAGCCTTGCCAATACAGCTGTCAGGCATGTCACTAGAGATTTTTAGCTTCCGGCGAATAGATTCAAGCAGGAAGCGGATTGATTCAACAAATGATACAGTCAGAGAGCCAAGAGCCACAGATCCCAGGCTGTAACGTAAAAGCCTCTTTGTGGAGGAAATGACCGAAAGGAATGGAATATCAGGCTGCATAGAGTAATGTGAGGTGCTGTTAGTCTCATTAACAACCAATAATTGTGCAATTATAAAAAAGCAAGTAGTAAATCTGCTTTTAAACAAAAGCAGCAACGCCAGAGAAATCAACATATCCATATAAAAATTATTTGAAACTGTTATTCATAAATCATAAACAGTGTGATTTGCCTCAGGGTCTGAAGCACAAGACCCACAATTTACTGGTGAAAAATATCTGCAAAATAGCCTTGACACTTGGAGTTAACTATCCAGTTCACCTAAGGCCAAGTTAGTTTAATTTGTTTTATTAAATGATTTTAGATAGGGGGGTGAGGAGGAGCTGTGGGGAACCTTGAGATAAATATGGGGATGTGTTGGAAGTAATCATTTTTAGCACATTTTTTATAGGGAAAATTACCGAAAAGTCCCCCATTGGAAATTTTAGTAAGAACCTAACAAATTTTTATACAAAGAAAGTGCTGCTACTCAGCAAATTTTGTACACAGAGTACCAGTACCTTGATTTAGATGCCTCTCACCAGTATTAAATGTGGCGCTGCACAGACTGAGACTACATTTTGTTCATCCTCTAGTATTTAACCAGCATTGGCAACACAAGCAACTTAATCCTCCAAATCTTATTATTCAATTATGCACAAGGAATTTACAAAACTTACAGATGTTTCCCCACGAGCCCAGTAATAGGTAGCAACAGATCCAGCAATCACTGTTGATGAGCATGCTATGAAAAATTGAGTAGCCCAGTAACAACCAAATAGGTGAAAAAGGATGGCAACTCCAATATGTGGCGTGTATTGAATGCTATACCCACAACAATTGTCACAGTTCACCCGTTTTGCCAAGAGATCATATGCACAGCAGTTAGAGTTGCATTTATTCTGAACAACCTCACCAGAACTGAACAAGTGGAGAGCAGCTGATATCCAGAACATGTAAAACACTGCAAGTATGCCATATGGCAAGAGAGGAAAAATAATTAGCGCTTGGACTTCCCCTATCACCTTGGCAGCAACCTGCAACAAATTTATACCAATTTAGTTAGATGGATTGACTCATCTCATGGATAGAAAGAGGGAGCATCGTTTCACTCTCCCGCCATTGCAGAATTGTACCACATGATGCGCCAATGGAAAGTATGCGTAACACTTTTGCAAGAAAAAGTCCGGCCTGAAAAATCTTTTTAGAGGGAATGACATATTCAGATTTTAAGTTAAATTAAGCTGTGGAATGTGGATATCACTTTTGCTAGATGCATGACTAGCAGGATGAGCATGTTTTAAACTTTTAATGCATTCTTTTCATAGAAAACGAATATACATATGACATACCACAAATGCCAAGAGATTTGATATGTATTGATACTCTCCATGTAGAAGTACTTGAAATTTGATCGAGCTTCACAAATACGGTTGCATCGTGCTTTCTCATGTATTATCCAA